GGATCCAATCCCACCCCACAGATCCAATTCCATCCCACAGATCCAATCCCACCCAACGGATCCCATTCCATCCCACGGATCCCACAGTGCCCCCCGGATCCCCCTGGACCCCCCGGATCCCCCTGGACCCCCCGGATCCCCCCGGATCCCCCGGATCCCCCCGGATCCCCCGGATCCGCACCTTGTAGTTGTCCCTGTCGGTGATTTTCCTGGACACCTGTTTGAGGGCGCTGGCCGTGGTCGCGTCCTCCACGTAGAACTGGGCCCGGTTGTGATCGTAGTGGAACTGCAACGGGAGCGGGGCTGGGATCACCTGGGATCCCCAAAATCCACCTGGGATCCACCCGGGATCCACCCAAATCCACCCGGGATCCACCCAAATCCACCTGGGATCCCCAAAATCCACCTGGGATCCACCTGGGATCCCCAAATCCACCCGGGATCCACCCAAATCCACCTGGGATCCCCAAAATCCACCTGGGATCCCCAAAATCCACCTGCGATCCACCAAATCCACCTGGGATCCCCAAATCCACCTGGGATCCACCCAAATCCACCAGGGATCCACCTGGGATCCCCAAATCCACCCGGGATCCACCCAAATCCACCTGGGATCCCCAAAATCCACCTGGGATCCGCCCAAATCCGCCCAAATCCACCCGGGATCCACCCAGGATCCACCTGGGATCCACCCAGGAGCCACCTGGGATCTACCCAGGAGCCACCTGGGATCCACCCAAATCCCCTGGGATCCACCCAAATCCCCTGGGATCCACCCAAATCCACCTGGGGATCCCCTGGGATCCCCCAAATTCCCCCAAATCCACCTGGGATCCCCAAAATCCACCCGGGATCTGCCCAAATCCACCCGGGATCCACCTGGAACACACCAAATCCACCCAGGATCCACCCAAATCCCCTGGGATCCACCCAAATCCGCCCAAATCCACCCGGATCCACCTGGGATCCACCCGGGATCCACCCAAATCCCCTGGGATCCACCCAGATCCACCCAGGATCCACCAAATCCACCTGGGATCCCTTGGGATCCCCCAAATTCCCCCAAATCCACCTGGGATCCCCAAATCCCCCAGGCTGGAGATAAAACAGGATCCCAAATCCCCCCCAGGATCCCAAATCCCCCCCCAGGATCCCAAATCCCCCCCAGGATCCCAAATCCCCCCAGATCCCCCCCCGGATCCCCCCGGGGGTCCCGCTGACCTCGACGGGGGTGAAGGGGACGCTGCAGAGGTTCTGGATGGAGCTCAGCAGCCAGGACTTGTCGTATTTCTTCCCGTACGGGATCTGCGGGGTGATCCCACGGGATTCCGGGTGATCCCAAGGGATCCCGGGTGATCCCACGGGATTCCGGGTGATCCCAAGCGATTCCGGGTGATCCCACGGGATTCCGGGTGATCCCAAGGGATTCCGGGTGATCCCAAGCGATTCCGGGTGATCCCACGGGATTCCGGGTGATCCCACGGGATTCCGGGTGATCCCACGGGATTCCGGGTGATCCCACGGGATTCCGGGTGATCCCACGGGATTCCGGGTGATCCCAAGCGATTCCGGGTGATCCCACGGGATTCCGGGTGATCCCACGGGATTCCGGGTGATCCCAAGGGATTCCGGGTGATCCCAAGGGATTCCGAGATGGGAATGGCGAGGAGGGGAAAGGAGAGAAGAAAAATGGGAATGGAGAGAGGAGGGAAAACGGGAATGGAGAAGGGGAAAATGGGAATGGAGAGGGGAAAATGGGAATGGAGAGGGGGAAACGGGAATGGAGAGGGGAAAACGGGAATGGAGAGGGGGAAATGAAATGAGAGGAAAAAGGAACCGGCAGAGAGCGGGAAAGGGAAGCGGAAGTGAGGTGGGAACACAGCGAGGGATGTGAGGGACCCAAACTCCAATTCCCAATCCAATCCCATCCCAATCCCAATCCCATCCCAATCCCAACCCAATCCCAATCCAATCCCAATCCCAATCCCAATCCCAATCCAATCTCAATCCCAATCCCATCCCAATCCAATCCCAACCCAATCCAATCCCAACCCAATCCAATCCCAATCCCAATCCCAATCCCATCCCAATCCAATCCCAACCCAATCCCATCCCAATCCAATCCAATCCCAATCCCATCCCAATCCCAATCCGAATCCCATCCCAATCCCAATCCCATCCCAATTCTAATCCAATCCCAATCCCAATCCAATCCCAATCCCAGCCCCAGCTCTCCCTGATTTCTGTGCCCGATCCCAGCATTCCCCACCCCAATCCCCCAGTCCCTTTCTCATTCCCGTGCCCCAATCCACTCCCTGTCCCAATCCCAATTCCCAGCCCCGTTCCCGTTCCCGTTCCCTTCCCCATCCCAGCTCCGTTCCCAGCCCAATCTCATCCTGCTCCAGTCCCCATTCCCCATTCCCCATTCCCACCCCATCCCATTCCCATCCCAATCCCATTCCCATCCCAATCTCTTCCCACCACATCCAAAACCCAATTCCCATCCCATTCCCAATCCCATCCCATCCTGATCCCAATCCCAGCCCATTCCCATCCTGATCCCTTCCCATTCCCAATCCCATCCCATGGGATCCCATGGGATCCCAATCCCATCCCCATCTCCATTCCCATCCCAATCCCCATCCCCATTCCCATTCCCATTCCCGTTCCCATTCCCGTTCCCGTTCCCATTCCCATTCCCATTCCATTCCCGTTCCCGTCCCCATTCCCGGTCCCATTCCCCATTCCCGTTCCCATTCCTTTCCATTCCATTCCCATTCCCGTTCCCATTCCCGTTCCCGTTCCCATTCCCATTCCTGTTCCCATCCCGTTCCCGTTCCCGTTCCTGTTCCCATCCCATTCCCATTCCATTCCCGTTCCCATTCCCGTTTCTGTTCCGTTCCCATTCCCATTCCTTTCCCATTCCCGTTCCCATTCCCGGTTCCCATTCCCATTCCTTTCCATTCCATTCCCATTCCCATTCCATCCCCGTTCCCATTCCTGTTCCCATTCCCGTTCCCATTCCCATTCCCGTTCCCGTTCCCATTCCCGTTCCCGTTCCCGTTCCCGTTCCCGTTCCCGTTCCCGTTCCCGTTCCCGTTCCCGTTCCCGTTCCCGTTCCCGTTCCCGTTCCCGTTCCCGTTCCCGTTCCCGTTCCCGTTCCCGTTCCCGTTCCCGTTCCCGTTCCCGTTCCCGTTCCCGTTCCCGTTCCCGTTCCCGTTCCCGTTCCCGTTCCCGTTCCCGTTCCCGTTCCCGTTCCCGTTCCCGTTCCCGTTCCCGTTCCCGTTCCCGTTCCCGTTCCCGTTCCCGTTCCCGTTCCCGTTCCCGTTCCCGTTCCCGTTCCCGTTCCCGTTCCCGTTCCCGTTCCCGTTCCCGTTCCCGTTCCCGTTCCCATTCCCGTTCCCATTCCCGTTGTTCCCATTCCCGTTCCCGTTCCCGTTCCCATTCCATTCCCGTTCCCGTCCCCGTTCCCGTTCCCTCGCGGTCTCACCGTGATTTTGAACCAGCTCCTCCTGCCGCCGTCCCTGCCGGAGCCGCCCCCGCGCTCCCCGGGCTCCCGTTTCACCGTGATGTTGATGTTGGCCAGGCGGCCGGAGCGCGGCGCGTACGGAACGCTGGGGCAGGCCGGTCAGCGGGAGCCCCGGGATCAACCGGGATCAACCGGGAAACACCCGGGAACACCCGGGATCAACCGGGAAACACCCGGGATCAACAGGGAAACCCCCAGGAAACACCCGGGATCAACCGGGAAACACCCGGGAAACCCCCGGAAATACCCGGGATCAACCGGGATCAACAGGGAAACCCCCGGGATCAACCGGGATCAACCGGGATCAACCGGGAAACACCCAGGAAACACCCGGGAACACCCGGGATCAACCGGGAACACCCGGGAAACCCCCGGGATCAACCGGGAAACACCCGGGAAACCCCCGGGATCAACCGGGAAACACCCGGGAAACCTCTGGGATCAACCGGGAACCCCACGGGAACCCCCCCAGGAAACTCTGGGAAGCCCCCAGGAACCCCCCCGGGAACCCCGGGAAACGCCCGGGATCAGCTGGGATCAGCCAGGATTCCCCCGGGATCAACCGGGAACCCCCGGGATCAACCGGGAACATCCCAGAACTGCCGGGAACCCCTTGTGATCAACTGGGAACACCCCGGGATTAACCGGGAACACCCCGGGATTAACCGGGAACCCCCGGGATCAACCGGGAACTCCCGGGAATCTCCTGGAGAACTCCCCGGGATACCCAGAAACCCCCCGGGAACCCCCGGGATCAACCAGGAACTCCCGGGATCCCCCGGGAACCCCCTGGGATCAGCCAGGAACTCCCCGGGAACCTCCGCGATTAACGGGGAACCCTCTGGGATCAACCGGGAACACCCCGGGAACCTCCTGGAGAACTCCCCGGGATACCCAGAAACCCCCCGGGAACCCCCGGGATCAGCCGGGAACCCCCCGATCCCCTCCCGGTTCCCTCCCGGTGTCCCCGGTCCCCTCCCGGTCCCTCCCGGTGTTGCCCCGGTTCCCGCACTCACTACCGCCCGCGGGGTCCATCGTGAGGCTCGGCCATGGGAACGTCTCCGTCGTCCTCGTCGGTGCGGGCGCGGCGGGGGCGGCTCCGGGGGTTCACCTCGCTGTACATCTTCCCCCGGAACGGCCCCCGGCCCTTCCGCCGCCGCCCCGGGAAGCCCCGGCCACCGACGCGGTCATCGTGCTCTGGGGATGGCACCGGGGATGGCACCGGGAGCGGGACCGCTCCCGTTCCGCGCTCACCGGGCAGAGCCCGCGGGGCTCCCGGAGCGCGGCTCGGTCACTCCCGAGCCCGCTCGCCCCCGATCCGGACCCCGCCGGGAGCACCGGGAGCGGCCCCGGGAGCGGCCCCGGTCCCGTCCGGACCCCCACACCGGGCATCGCTACCGGGCCCCGCTCCCGGCGCTCCCGGCCGCGGGCCCCGCCGGTCCCGTGGTTGTTCCCGGGGCCGCTCCTCTCTCCCCGTTCCCCCTCCCCGGTTCCACCACCGGCCCCGGGGGTCACCGCTACCGGCCCCGAGCCCCCTCCCCTCTCCCGGTCCGCCCTCCCCGCGGTCCCCCCGTGCGGGCCCGGCCTCCCTCCCGGTGCTGTTCCCGTGTCCCCGCTCCCCTCCCCGTGCCGCCCCCCCCCCCCCATCCCGGGCCCTCCCCCCCCCCCCGGGC